TCTCTCTAAAAAAATGGGGGGCTAAAATAGTAAGTTTTAGGTTATGTATAATAATTATTTCATTTTATTTATTATTTTTAAATTTGCTATAGGGCACGTGTGCTCACCAGAGAGAGACACAGAGAGAGGAAAAGAAAGCAAACTGCCAGATCCAGGATAGGAACCACAGCCAGCCATGTGGGAATCTAACTTTTTTTGGGGGGAGAGGTTTTTGCTATAGGGCGTGTGTGCTCACCAGAAAGATGGAAAGACAGAGAGATAGGAAGTTGCAAATCACTCCCCAGGGGGTATGGCCATGCCACAATCCCTTCTCCTTCATTCCCCTCTCAGGATCTTGGGCACGCACGCACACATGCCTGGTGTGAGTTTAAGCCACCAGGTTCGGGACTTGAACCACGGTTGGCTACATGGGAGTCCAGTGATAGCCATTATGCCAACAGCTGGTCCCAGGAATCTAACATTTTTAACTGCCACCCTACCTGCTGGCCCCTAGGTTATATATATTTTACCATAATTCTTTTTTTTAAAAAAATATTGTGGCTGGGACCAGCAATTAGTGTAATGGCTATGTTGCTGGACTCCCATGTAGCCAACCGTGGTTCAAGTCCCGAACCTGGTGGCTTAAACTCACACCAGGCATGTGTGCGTGCGTGCCCAAGATCCTGAGAGGGGAATGAAGGAGAAGGGATTGTGGCGTGGCCATCCCCTCTGGGGGGTGATTTCTCGTTTTCTGTCTCTCTGTCGCTCTCTGTCTGGCGAGTGCATGTGCCCTATAGCAAAAACCTCTTCAAAAAAAAAAATTGTGGTTATGTAGGATAATGTTTTATTTTATTTTTTAAAAAGAATTATTATTTTATTTAACTTCTTTATTTTAATTTTGACCAGAGAAAGGCAGAGCAAGAGAGAGAGAGAGAGGGAAAGTAGAAAGGAAGCCACCAGGTCTGGGACTCAAACCGTGGTGAGCCTTGTGGGAGTCCAGTGCCCTTAACCACCATACTATCTGCCAGCCTCAGGATAATGTTTTTTATTATTAGGAGATAGAGACCAAAAGTTTTAGGAGTGAAGTGTCATAGTGCCTACAATTTATTTTTAGTGTGTACTATTCTTTCAACTTCTGTGTAGGTCTCAAATTTTTCAAAATAAAAAGAAAGGGAGGCCAGCAAGTGGTGTAGTGGTTACATCACTGGACTCCCCACACTGCTGACAGCAGTTCAAGTCCTGAGCCTAGTGGCTTGAAAATCACACTGGGCACATGTGTGAGTGCACATGTCCAAGATCCTGAGAAGAAAATGGAGGAGAAGGCATTGTGGCATGGCCATCCTCCCAGGGGGTGATTTCTCACTTTCCCTCTCCCCGTCTCTGTATCTTTCTCTTTCCAGTGAGTGCACACACCCTAAAGCAAAAACCTCTTTTAAAAAAAAGTTAAAAAATAGAAAGTACAGGGCCAACCCCATAATAAAGTAGTTAGCCCTATGCATAAAGAGCTGAATCCCACATGGCTGACCACGGTTTGGGTCCCAGCCCCACTGGCTTGAAAAACATGCTTTGTGAGGGATGATCAGAATTTGGTAACTCATGAAACGTGAAAGGTAAGAGTTATCACTCTGAGGTTTACACCTGGATATGGGGGACTAGTGGTAATAGGATGTGGAAGAATAAAAGGAAATTGAAAAGTTAGCAGGAGGGACTGGTTTGGAGCTTAAGACTCAGAAAGAGAAACTGTAAGAGAAAACAATAAGTTTAGTTTTATCTTAGCTTTCTTGTTACATGGATCCTTCATAGGGATCCCTCAGATTCAAACAGAGCTCAACCAGAAAAAGAATTATCCTTCCAAGGCTGGTTCTTGTACCAGACCAGCTTCACCTGGCCCCACAAACCATTCCCAGAGAACATCCTGCATTTACAGCTACCTGAGGCTCTTGGTGCCTCTAGTTCTTTTCTGGTGGCATCCCTTCAACCTAATTGCATTCCATCTAGCCTCTGCATATTTGCATATTTCCTAATCTGCTTGCCCTTTAACTTTTTGTTGTTGTTGTTGAGGTTTTTGCCTTTGGGAGCATGTGCTGGCAGTCAAGAGACAAGAGACAGTGAGAAAGAAAGTGAGAAATCACTCCTGGAGGGGAGGATTGCCATGCTGCAATCCCATCTCCTCCACTGTCCTCCTGGGATCTTGGGCACGCACACACACCTGGCCTAGGTTTCATGCCATGGAGTCCAGAGCTCAAACCACAGCAGTCCATGTAGTCCAGGGACATAACTACTATGGCATCTGCTGGTCCCTTTCTTTTAAGTTGCTTAATTTTATTTATCATCATCATCTTTTTTTTAGTTTGTATAAGGCACATGAGCTCACCAGAGAAAAAGTGAAAGCAAGCCACCAGGTCCAGGACTCAAACCATGGTCAGCCATGTGGGATTCCTGTGCTTTAACCACCACACCACCTGCTGGCCCCACCCTTCATCTTTGATAAGGAAAGGAGAACCAGGGGTATGTATCCAGGAGCATACATCCTGCAACACATAGGCCAAAACGGGTGCTCAAGTGTAAGTAGGTCAGGCAAGGGTATGTGCCCTGTGGTGAACAGCTGTTGCTGGCACTACCAGTGGGATACAGAGGAGGGAAGTGGGAATAAATGAATGAACAAGGCTGAGGTGGAGGATGAGCCTGGAGCAGGATGGTGGGTAGATCAGGGAACCACCTGTAGCTCTTGCCACAGTGATAACATGCAGGCTCTGCTCTAGGCCAGCCCCGTCCACCATATGGAATACCCAGCAGTACTCAGTAGGGGGAATCTCTGCTTACCAGTTCAGGCATCCCCTGACTGTGAGATAATCCAATCCCCATGGTACTCAGTTTCTCTCCCAATTTCCCATTTCTGTGTTGAAAATAAGAACTTTGGGGGTCAGCAGGTGCCATGGTGGTTAAGGCACTGGACACTCCCACATGGCCGACCATGGTTTGAGTTCCGGATCTGGTGGCTTGCTTTCTCACTTTTCTTCTGTGTGTCTTTCTCTGGTCAAATGAAAATGAATGAATGAATAAATAAAATTAAATATAAATAAATAAACATAAAAAAATAAGAACTTTGGTTTGACAGGAGTGAGGACATTCTGAGAAGACAGAGTTCAGCTCAAGTAGAAACATTTGGGATGATGAGATCACCAAACTGGACAGAGGTGGAGAAGGCATCTAAATGAAATACCAGTGAAGGTGAAGGGTGTAAAGAAGGTCTCTTGAAGGCCCTCATAGGATGGAAGTTGGTCCACCAAACCAAGAAATGAGCTGGGAGCAGTTTGTGCTACCTAGGGAAACAGGCAGCTGCTATCCTAGGCAAACCTGATCTGGTGGCTTGCTTTCTCACTTTTCTTCTGTGTGTCTTTCTCTGGTCAAATGAAAATGAATGAATGAATAAATAAAATTAAATATAAATAAATAAACATAAAAAAATAAAATAAGAACTTTGGTTTGACAGGAGTGAGGACATTCTGAGAAGACAGAGTTCAGCTCAAGTAGAAACATTTGGGATGATGAGATCACCAAACTGGACAGAGGTGGAGAAGGCATCTAAATGAAATACCAGTGAAGGTGAAGGGTGTAAAGAAGGTCTCTTGAAGGCCCTCATAGGATGGAAGTTGGTCCACCAAACCAAGAAATGAGCTGGGAGCAGTTTGTGCTACCTAGGGAAACAGGCAGCTGCTATCCTAGGCAAACCTGCCCATCTACAGGCCTTCTCAGGCCATATGAAGATAAATTCTCTAGGATACATATAATTAGTTCCCTCTTCTCACTCTAGCCTTTATAGTCAACCTACTTCACCCAAAGCTGGATGGCATTACTACTCAGACCAAACTCACCCAGCAAACTTTTGCTAATTTCCCTTCCCATCCAGTGGGGGAACAGCTTTCCAAGTCTTTTCTTTTTTAAAGAATTATTTATTTAGAGACCAGCAGGTGGCATAATAGCTACATCACTGGACTTCCATGTAGTCGACCATGGTTCGAGTCCTGGACCTGGTGACTTAAACTCATGCTGGGCGCATGTGCGTGCATGCCCAAGATCCTGAGAAGAGAATAGAGGAGAAGGGATTGAGGGATGACCATCCCCTTCGGAAGGATGACTTCTCACTTTCTATCTCTCTGTCTCTGTTTTTCTGGCGAGCACACACACCCTATAGCAAAAACCTCCCCTCCTGCCAAAAAAATATTTATTTATTTATTATTATTTTTTAATTTGCTGTAGGTCATGTGCACTCACCAGAGAGACAGAGAGAGAAAGTGAGGAAGCAAGCTGCCTGGTCTAAGACTAAACCCACGGTTGGCCATGTAGGAGTCCAGTGCCCCAACCACCACACTACTTGCTGCTGCCAGTTTTCCTCATCTTGGTCCTCTCGTCCAGGTACAGAATCCCCTAATTATCCCAGCTATTCAGGGTGCCAACCAGGGAGAAGATAAACCTGGCAGGATTAAAGGGAGGGGCATCCACGGGAACAAGTCAGTAGCTAGTGAGGACATGAAAGTGACTGTTCAAATTGTCTGAACACACAAGCTGGGCTGGAATGGGAAATTGAGGAAAATGAACAGAAAATTCTATCTAAAGTGGGAAAGATGGAGAGTCTGAGTTGAGTTTCAGGTGAGCCTAGGCCCATGGATGCACCAGTAGGCAGACAGCTTCCCTTCAGTGATAACGGATGGTGGAAAAAATCACTGGTCTCAATGCCATCATTTAGCTCTTTGGTCTATAAGCTAAAAATATGGATGCCTCATATGGAAAAGTCAAAGTTGTAATACAAGACCTTCCAGCTGTTGTTGGGATGAGATGATGTGTAATGACAGTGTTCTGCAAACTGCAAAGAACCTAACACTCCTGAAGTAGGCTGACATAAGCCTCTCTGGTAGGCACTGAGCTATCATAATCACCTCTCATTGTCAGACCTGAAGTTTCTAAGGCTTCACATGGCATTCAGCTACAAAGGCATCCTGACACACTCTACTGACACTTACCTGTAGCCGGTGGATGCAGGACAGAGAGGAAAAGCCGGGTTCCAGGTGGGAACATGGACTGTTAGAAAGATGATGTAACAACTCACCTTGGATGGCATCTCCAGATAAAGGAGCATTTGCAGCCCCTATAAGTTCTGCACCATCCCATACCTAGGGACAAAAAAAGGCAATCAATTGTGCTCTATCCCCTCCTCTGGTTGTACCCATTTAACCTCTCCCAAGCTGCCTTGTTCTGAAGATGACTGCAACCTCAGCATAGCATTCCAGTGGGAGTCTAGACCTTGGATGAGTTAAACAGGACCTAGAAGGATTTGTCCCTGTCCTCAAGTCATTCTCTTTTCAACCTCTACTTGTGCCCTCCTCAAGAGATACCTCCATTCTAGGTTCTGAGGTAATTCTCTCCTCCATGGGTCACCAGAAATCTATCTCTGAGGGGCCTATTTCAGTGCTAGCTCCTGGCATAGGTTCAGTCCTTGGTAGGACCAGAGAAGGGTAGGTTGCCAGAGTCAGCTGGAAGATGGTGCTAAAACCAATTTCATTCCTTTGCAGCATCTATAGGACTTGGCAATCTGTTGGCATGGTGAACATAGCTCCCCTCACCCCTACGTGGGTCAACAAAGTGGAAGAAATGTGCTTGGGGGCCCACCACTGTGACATAGCAGTAATACAAGTGCCCTGCGAAGTTGGAAGCCATGGGACCAGCAGTTAGCGTAATGGCTATGTCGCTGGACTCCCACGTAGTCAACCGTGGTTCGAGTTCCGGACCCAGTGGCTTAAACTCACACCGAGCGTGTGTGCATGCGTGCCCAAGATCCCAAGAAGAGAATGGAGGAGAAGGGATTGCGGCGTGGCCATCCCCCCTGGGGGGTGATTTCTCGCTTTCTCTCTGTCTCTCTCTGTCTGTCTGGTGAGCGCACACGCACTATAGCAAAAACCTCTCAAAACAAACAAACAAACAAACAAACAAAACCAGACAAAGTTGGAAGCCATGTGGCTGACTGTGGGTTCAGATCTGCAGGTCAGCTTGAAGACATGCTAGGTGTGTGTCGGGGGGACACTCAAGATCCTGAGGAACAGGAGGGCTGGGGAAGAGAGATTGTGGCATGAGGAAATCCTGTCAAAGGTGCTTTTCTCTCTAGCTGGCACATGCATTTTCTTTCTAAGGATTATTTATTGAATTAATTCAATTTATTATTATTATTTTAATTTGACCAGACAGAGACTGAGAGAAAGGGAAAGCAAGAAAGCAAGCTGCCAGATCCAGGACTCGAACCAGTTAGCCATGTGGGAATCCAGCGCCTTTAACTACCACACCACCTGCTGGCCCCCTACACATGCACTCTATACCAAAAAAGAGAGAGAGAGAGAGAGAAAGAAGAAAATGTCCATGGAAAGAAGTGGGTCGTAGAAAAAAAGCCAAAACTTGACACCAGAGCCAAAGGAATATCCATTACTGGTACTTAAGACTGCTTCAAGATACCATGCTTCCGTTTTCTCCCCTTGTGAGTCTTCACCTCAATTCCAGGGAAGGAGGTTCACAAACCCTCCTATCCATTTATGAGACATTGCTCATTGTGCTCTCAGCTGGCTGGTACTCTGTTATATGTCAATAACAGGGAGCCAGCAGATGGCCTAGCAGTTACATCGCTGAACTCCCACTTGGCCGACTGCGGTTTGAGTCCTGGACCCCTTGGCTTGAAAATCACACCAGGCACATGTGCGTGTGTGCCCAAGATCCCAGGAGGAGAATGGAGAAGGGATTACAGAGTGACTATCCTCCCTGAAGGGTGATTTCTCACTTTCCCTCTCACTGCCTCTCTCTCTCCCAGGTGAGCACACTAAGGCGAAAAGTAAAATGTCAACCACGTGGCCCTTGCCCATTCATCATCTGTCCATTCACATTTTTCTCCTAAAAGAATGGCTGTCAGAGGGCATTTGAGTCTGGGCCACCTAATAATGCAGTGGGTAAGGAAGCTGGATCCCACATAGTCAACTGCACGGATCAAATCCTAGACTGAGTAGCTTGAAAAACATAGTGTGTGTGTGTGAAGTCATCCCCTAAGGGGTGCTTTCTCACTCTCTCTCTCTGCCTCTCTCCAATGAGCACATGTGCCTTATGGCAAACTAAAAACCAAACAAACAAAACAGTAGGAATGCATCATTTCAGGGTAAATATAAGCAGATTCAGGGCTTTATTATTCAAATAAATCCCACTGGGGAAAAAAGGGCGGGGCTGTGCCTGTGAGTCTAATCAAAAAGCCTCAGGTCGTCCAGAGACCACAGCTTTTGGTTTCTGTAGGAATCTCATAGCCTCTTTTCATTCACTAATTTACTAAGTGCCAAGTATGTGCCCAGTGAGGATGTAAAACACTGATCAAGCCTATTCCCCGTAGAGACACTTCTCCTCCAGGCATCTGGAGGCTGTGGGAGAGGTGCTCAGAATACCTTTTCCCTACTTACTGGAATATTCTCATTTTCCACAAGCTTTAAGAGGCTAAAATGTTGTCCCTGCCTCAATTCTCTCACTCTGTTCTCTCAGGGCTACTCCTGCTTCATTCATCACAGCACAGTTACCTGGACTTCTCTTATAACACAGCACTTTCTACTTGAATTATATGTGTTTTCTTGCATAATTGACCTTGTAGACTATACCCTGTGTTTCTTGAGGTCAAAGATTGTCTTATACATTGTCATATTCCCAAGAACACCCAGCACAACACCATGTACACACCATGTACTCAAAAAACACACATAGAGTAATACAGTTTCCATATAAAGACATCTGTTGAATGAATGAAGGCTTGTTTGTGAAGCTACTGGGAGTTTTCAGATTTAAAATATATACCCTTTTTTTTTTTTAATGGAGCGGTTTTTGCCATAGGGCGCGTGTGCTCGCCAGAGAGACAGAGAGAGACATAGAGACAGAAAGCGAGAAATCACCCCCCTCTGTCTGTCTGGTGAGCGCACACACCCTATAGCAAAAAAAACTCCATAGGAAACAAACAAAAAACAAAAAAAACACACATAGAGTAATACAGTTTCCATATAAAGACATCTGTTGAATGAATGAAGGCTTGTTTGTGAAGCTACTGGGAGTTTTCAGATTTAAAATATATACACTTTTTTTTTTTTAATGGAGAGGTTTTTGCCATAGGGCGCGTGTGCTCGCCAGAGAGACAGAGAGAGACAGAAAGCGAGAAATCACCCCCCAGGAGGGATGGCCACGCCGCAATCCCTTCTCCTCCATTCTCTTCTTGGGATCTTGGGCACGCACACACACACGCTCGGCGTGAGTTTTAAGCCACCAGGTCTGGGACGCGAACCGCGGTCGACTACGTGGGAGTCCAGTGACATAGCCATTATGCTAACTGCTGGTCCCAAAAATATATACACATTTTTATCACCAATGTAAAACTTTTGGGGACAGAAGGTGGCGTGGAGGTTAAGGCGGCTGGATTCCACATGGTCAACTTTTTACAGTTGGCCCTGGCAGCTTGAAAATCAAAAAGGGCATGTGCATTCCCAAAATCCAGAGAGAATGGAGAAGGGATTGTGGTATGGCCATCCTCCCTGGGGGGATATCTCACTTTCCCTGTCTCTCTCTGGCCAGTGCATGCGCACTATAGCAAGCAAACTAAAACACAAAAACAAAAACTTCTTGCTGACTCTTTATCAGAAATGAGATAAGGAGCTGGGAATTGGGATGCTTCCTATATGCAAGCCCTGGGCTAAAAATTTACATGCATTCTCTCATTTAATCTTTTTCTCTCATTTAATCTTCAAATCCTTGAGGTAATACTATCAAAAAATACAACAGAAATCCCTTTCTTCTTATAATTGGTTTGCTTTTTTTTTTTTTTTTTTGGAGAGGTTTTTGCTATAGGGCATGTGCGGTCGCCAGAAAGACAGAGAGAGAGAGACAGAAAGCGAGAAACCACCCCCCAGGGGGATGGTCACCCCACAATCCCTTCTCTTCCATTCTCCTCTTGGGATCTTGAACACGCACGTACACGTGCCTGGCTTGAGTTCAAGCCACTAGGTCCGGGAAACAAACCACTGTCAACTACATGGGAATCCAGCAACATAGCCATTATGCTAACTGCTGGTCTCGTAACTGGTTTGCTTTAAGGGGCAATCAATTCAGTAGTATGATTAATTTTCACAAAGGAAAAGGGACTAGCAGATGGCATAATGGTTAGGTCGCTGGACTCCCATGCAGTTGACCCCTACTCAAGCCCCAGACCCAGTGACTTAGAACTCATGCCAGGTGAGTGTGCACGCATGCCCAAGATCCTGAGAGAATGGAGGAGGGATTGCGACATGGCCATCCCTCCCGGGGAGTGTGTGTGTGTGTGTGTGTGTGTGTGTGTGTGTCTATGTGTTTGTGATTTCTTGCTTTTTGTCTGTCTCTGGCGAGAGCACGCGGCCTACAGCAAAAATCCCTCAAAGAAAAGAAAGAAGCATCAAAAAAAGTGTTTTGTTTTGAGAGATTTTGCTCTAGGGCACGTGCGCTCACCAGAGAGACAGAAAGCGAGAAATCCACCGCCCCCACCCTCCAGATGACCACACAGCAAGTCCTTCTCTATTCTCCTCGGGACTCGCTGGGCAGCTACACGTGACTGGCACGAGTTTCAAGCTCCGCGGTCGACCATGTGGGAGTACAGCGCCTTAACCACTACGCCATCTGCTGGTCCCAGCTTTTTTTCTTTTAAGAAATAAAAATACGTCTCTATAAGAGACTTGTAGATTATTGCCTTCAACTTCATTTTACAGAGTAGGAAACTTCAGCTCAGAGAAATAGACTTGTCCCAGGTCACAGAAGGCCAGGGACTACTCCGCAAGGAAACTGCAACGGGTACCAGAATTCCAGTGCAGGTCCAATTTTACAGGAGTGGGGACTGAAATCCAGAGCGTCTAGGAGCCTCCCAGGTCCGGAATCCAAGAGGCAGAGCGGGATTCACCCCTGTGCGCTCCAGGCGGGCCTGAAGCTTCCGCCACCTTCACCTGCGGTGGGAACTATGCCCGACCGCGGCCCGCACCCAGCCGGCGCCCCTGGGTACCTAAGGGCGGCGCGCAGTCCCTCGGCTGGAGGTACTAGGTGCTAACGAAGGGCGAGCGAGGCTGCGAAGGCCAGAAGCGGGCACTGACCTCGCTGACTCGGGCCACCCAGGGCCCCTTCGCCTCAGAACGCCGAGGCTGCAGGAGCTAAAGGTCGCCAAGACGCCCAGAACTGGGGAGAGCTGGTCCCAGGAGGCAAGAGCGGCCTAGCCTCCTCCCAGTCCCGTCCCGCTCCCTCTCAACCGTCTGCAGACCCCCATCCCAGCTCCAGGGCACCGCAGGGAAAGGCAACACCTTTTTGCGCCTGGAAGCCTAGCGTTTCGGACTCTCGAAAGGGGGCGAGGTTGCCCTGGAAACTAGAAAAAGCTCTTTGCGCCTGCGCAGCAGACGCGCTAGGCACGCTGGGAAGTGTGGTTTACGGCGTGTCACTCCGAGGCTCGGCGGACTGTCGGAAGATGGCGCCCCAGCGTCGCGGTCCACTTAGACAGGCGGCATTGCTCAGAGCAGTGCCGCCTGGTCTCTTCAGTGCGGTTGATTTTGCCGTTTGACTGCTTGACCTAACGAGGGTCTGTCTGTCTTGGCTTGGAGCATGGTGGCGCCTGGGTCCCGGGACCCCTAGCCCTGACAAGCCGTGCTCGCTAGAGGGAGAGCGTTCTGAAGGCGGAACCTAGCCCGGGGTGGACCGGCTGCCCAAGGGCCGGAGTTGCTCCCCGCAGCAAATGGGCTAGACCACTCCAGATGCTAGGAGGCTCCTGTATCTGCTGGGAGTGGGGACTCCGGGAGCTGGGGTCTGGGCACTTCTGGACCCAGGGCCTGCGCTGGGCAGAACTGTGAAATCGATGTTGATTGTCATGGGCTGTAGGTGACGTGGTGTTTGGGGCCCTGGACTCTCACATGGTTGACTGTGGTTGGAGTCCCAGACATGGTGGTGTGTTTTCTTGTGTTCTCTGTCTTTCCCTCTTTGGTCAACATACATACCCTATATATTATTTAAAAATAATAATGATAGGACCAGTAGTTGGCGTAATGGCTATGTCGCTGGACTCCCATGTAGTCAACCATGGTTGGAGTCCCAGACCCCGCGGCTTAAACACCCAAGGCGCCTTTGCGTGCGTGCCCAAGATCGGAGAGGAGAATGGAGGAGAAGGGATTGCGGCGTGGCCTTCTCCCCCAGGGGGTGATTTCTTGCTTTCTGTCCCTCTGTCTCTCTCTTTTTGGCCAGCGCATGTGCCCTCTAGCAAAAACCTCTCCAACTAAACTAAACTAAACTAAAATAAAAATAATGATAATAGAGTTGAATAAATAATCTCTTATTTTTGAGAATTTTTTTTTTTGCTATAAGGCACATGTACTTGTAAAGAGACAGAGACAGAAAGCAAGAAATCATCCTCCAGGGAAGATGGCCACACAGCAATCCTTTCTCCTCCATACTCTGGGGATATTGGGCAGGTGTCCACATACACATGGTGTTGAGTTTCAAGTCACCGGGTCTGGCCGTCCAACTGAGTTGGACTACATGGAAGTCCAGCAATGAAACCGTTACACCATCTGCTGGTCCCAAATAATCCTTTTTTTTTTTTTTTAAAGGAATGTTTATTGTCCAAAAACTACCTTCTCCTCTCCTGACTTAAACTACTGGACTGAGAACTTAGAATCTGATTCAGACTCTTTTAGAAACTTACTGCAGTAATTACTGCTTTGAGCCTCAGTTTTCTTGTTTTTAAAAATTGGTGGTGATGGGACCAGCAGGTGGCGTGGTGGTTAAGGCGCTGGACACTCCCACATGGCTGACCGGGGTTCGAGTCCTGGACCTGGTGGCTTGCTTTCTCACTTTCTCTCTCTCACTCTCACCCTCTGTCTCTCTCTGATCAAATTAAAAATCAATGAATGAAAAAATAAAAAATAAATAAAATAGTTATTAAAAAAATGGTGGCGATTATGGCCGCCCTTTTCTCCCTCTGAGAGTGTTGTAAGGTGAGGACATTGATGTACAGGCTGGACAGTCCTTTAAGGACATAAAGAGGTGTTCCCATTTACACTAAATGGGTGCAACTTCTTGAAAAAAAGTTAGACATTGCCTCTTAAAATTAAAAATACACATAATGTTCGGTTTAGCAACTCTAGAAATATGCCCTACAGATTTAGTGGCCATATGTGCATAAGAAAGTATATATGCGGGTACTTGAAAAGTTTTTGGAAAAGTGGAATTAAAGTACAATTTTAGGGGGCCGGCAGGTGGCGTGGTGGTTAAGGGTGCTGGACTCCCACATGGCCGACCATGGTTTGAGTCCTGGGCCTGACAGCTTACTTTTTCTCTTTCTCTCTCTCTCTTCACTCTCTTGCTCTCTCTCTGGTCAAATTAAAATAAATAAAGTTAAATTTTTAAAGAAAGTACAAGTTTATTTTGGTGCCAAAGATTTACTAAATCTAAGCCTTTTGAGTCACTTTTCCCTGTCTGCTCAGGCCCACTCCTACTTTCAGGAATGTACTTTCACTTTTACTTAATAAACTACCTATTCTTGGGACCAGCAGTTGGCATAATAGCTGTCACTGGACTCCCAACTGTAGCTGACCACAGTTCGAGTCCTGGACCCAGTGGCTTAAACTCATGCTGGGCGCATGTGTGTGTGTGCCCAAGATCCTGAGAGGAGAATGGAGGAGAAGGGATTGCAGCGTGGCCATCCCCCCGGGGTGGGGGGGGGATGATTTCTCGCTTTCTGTCTCTCTGTCTCTGTCTGTCTTTCTGGCGAGCGCACACACCCTATAGCAAAAACCTCTCCAAAAAAATCTACCTTTTCCTTTCACTATTGGCATATTTCATTCAATTCTTTGTCCGAAATACAAATAACCTGGGTATCATCATAGAAGCCATCCAGCAATATATATTGTGCTGAGCAGCCAGGAGGAAGGCAAAAATGACAATGGCAACTCTCGCACAGAGGGAACAACTTACTCCTGTGAACCACTAAAGACTTTGACACTTCTTTTCAAAACAAAACAGACAACCAGCTGCAATATAAGCTATAAAATTACAAATGATCATACAACAGAGATATTAACTGTTTAGGACCTCGGCTGAATCCTACTGTGAGTCCTCCAACACCAATGACAGTCCTCTTCATGATACACCTCACGACTACCTCAACGACCTGCCCCTGGCCCTGCTCTCCTACCTAGATGAGATAGGGTGAGAGGTCCATGATTCCTGATAGGTAGAGCTAACGCTCCTTTTCAGCATGAAGCGGTTACAGAACACCTTCAACTCTCCAAAAAGATTTTTGAGGACCATGCCTCTCGGGAAAAATGTGGCAGGAAAAAGCTGGTAAATAGAAGCCAGAAAGGGGGCTGGAGCCTCTGCCCATGTGGCTAGGTAGGAAAACCAATCAGGGCAAAAAATTCCCCACCCAAGGTAATATAAACAGATCAGTGGGGGATGTCTAACTGATTAAGCCACATTTGATAGAGCCAATGAGATGAGAACAAGCAATGGGCCTAGCCAATGACCAACCCATTAGACCTAGATTAAAAATTATAAACCTCACGGAGTGTAACGGCAGGGGGGGGGCTCGAGTCATTCTTTTTCTGTCCACTCAGGCCCACTCCTACCTCTCAGGGGTGTACTTTCACTTTTGATAAACTATCTTTTCCTTACACTAAAAATATATTAAATCTATGAGTACTTCTTCTCCCAGAGAACACCAAATGGCGGATGATGCCAGTGCGGCGGCAGAGCCTGGAGGCCCTGGGAGTCCTGGGATAGGAGGCTGTGGAGGCTTCCGTGGAGGGTTCAGAAAAAAATCCCCGGCCCTTGGTGGGAGCCAGGGTCGTGGCCATGGAGCTTGTGGAGGCAAGGCCGAGGACAAGGAGTGGCTCCCAGTCACCAAGCTGGGCTGCCTAGTCAAAGACATGAAGACCAGATCCCTGGAGGAGATCTATCTCTTCTCCCTGCCCATCAAGGAGTCTGAGGTTATGGACTCTTTCCTGGGAGCATCTCTCAAGGATGAGGTTCTAAAGATCATGCCCATGCAGAAGCAGACGCTTGCTGGCCAGCAGACCAGGTTCAAGGCATTTGTCACCATCAGGGACTACAATGGTCATGTTGGTTTGTGAAGTGCTCCAAGGAGGTGGCCACTGCCATCCGAGGGGCCATCATCCTGGCCAAACTCTCCATTGTCCCAGTGCGGAGAGGCTA